CAACACCCTCTTCCCCACTCACACCCACCCCTCAACACCCTCTTCCCCACTCACACCCACCCCTCAACACCCTCTTCCCCACTCACACCCACCCCTCAACACCCTCTTCCCCACTCACACCCACCCCTCAACACCCTCTTCCCCACTCACATCCATCCCCAACACCTTTCGGGAACACTCTTCCTAAACATCTTTCCTCTTTTCCTTTATTTAATACCCATCCTCAACACCCACCCCTCAACATCCTTTCCTTTTCCTTTCAATTGTATTTATTGATTGTGTTATTGTGTTCCCCACCCACAGGTCCGTGCTGTGAGATGGACATTTACTTGAAAGCAGATGACAATCTGAATTTCAAAAGGTGCCAGAAAAACCCAGGACACTCATCCTTTATTCCTCTCCATGAACTGAAGCCAGAGCACCTCCCAGAGAAGGCGAGACGTCCAGATGTCCTGAGATATATCAAACATGTCGCATGCCGCACGGTAAGACTGGTTGTGGGCTACACGTCAAAACACCGGTCGGCCGATATGAGCTATCCGTCTTTGCAGGGGACAAATGCACCTCGTGTTGGAAGCGGCTTCGTTAGAGAACTTGGTATGAATTTGAAGGGACGAGCCGCAACAGAGATCCCCCATGCCGACTTCTTTGAGCTGGAAGAAGATGAATTTTATGTTGATACTGCTGCCCATGTTGTCTTCAATGAAGAGGAAGCTAAACACACCACAGTGGATCTATTTTTTGATAATGACTCGGATAGTTCCACGGTTATTCAAGCAAAAGGGGTTAAGATGGATTCCGTTTCAGAAGACTTTGATCAAGTAATCTTTATTGCTCGGCTCAATAAAAAGGATCTGGATACGGCTTATGAGAAACTTATGGAGGTGTCACCTAGCCCGATTCCGTTTATTCCCAACTTTGCCTTTTGTGTGTCACACCCTCACGGTGTAGCCAAAAGAGTCAGTTTTGGAGAGCCAGAAGACATAAAAAGCCATGATGTTGATTCTGAAGAGCTGCGCCAGAACAGGTGGAAATATATCTGCTATTTAAAGGCAAGACATGGAATTGAGGAGGGGAAGACTTATTTCGTTATATTGTATTCTCTTGCGTTAACTCGAGTGTCCAAAAAAATGTCTAGTGCAGTATATTTGGAAAATTCAAGATTCCCTATTAAACGTCTCGTTGACAAAGGTCTGTTGATATGTCCTAGTGATGACGAGATTCGCATCATCTCAAAGTGTATTAAAGTAAACGATAACACTTTGGATAAGATTCGTCAAGACAGGGAGTACGTGTGTGGACAGGACGGTATGGAATCTACTTCGTCACAACCACCAGAGGGCAGCACAAGTGATAAGAGCTCTTTTGACTTCAGGGTGTTTGAATTGATGTTAAAAGCATTAAGAAAAGAACATTCTCAGACTTGGCTGCAGAACTTGTTTCGTGAATCTACTGGTAACAGCCAATCATTTGAACAGCTGTTTCCTGAAGATGATGACCATCCCACTGGTACTGTCAGTTATCGAGTTCCAACCTGTCCTGGGAGTTCCGGGGCCAATGTCCACTCCATGATAGTGAAGGACGGGGATGAACTCACGTTCAGTTCGCCCCATTCTCAAGGCCCAAAAGGCAAACCAGGTATAGGCAAAAATGGCTATGCTTTCTGTGACACTTTAAGTTAAAGGGATGAGCTCATGCAGGAGTGCAACATATTCGTACAGATAGAGAGACAGACACACACCAACAGAGAGAGAGAGAGAGAGAGAGAGAGAACCCGAGATGGTGAAATGATGCTGTTCATATATTTCATGTCCCAGGATCAGGTGAGAGCATGCTGTTATTAATTTCCATACTGCTGTGTGTGTGTGTGTGTATGTGTGTGTATGTGTGCATATTTGTGTAATATGTATGTATGTGTGCAGTTTAATTTTTCTACATTGTTTGACATGTTTAAATTTCTTTCCAGAGAGAGATTTTTAGATTACGCGTGGTGTTGAATGAAAGTCTGCTAAATTATTTTTGTATAAAACTTTCATGTATGTTCTCTTTAATCTTCTTCCCCATCCCTCTCATTTTTATTTCATTTACTCAGTGCATCCATGTTGACAATCCGAGTGCCTTTTTTTCTGTCTGCTGTAAATTTAGTGAAGTGCAATGCTTGATTATCAAAAATAAATTATGAACACCAAATCAAGGGGAGACAACCAATGATATATTGCTGGTGAGTTTTAGGTCAAAGAGTTGCCCCCTTTGTCTTACCTGGTGTGTAGATTGATCAAAAAACACTTTTGATTGGTCTGTGACTGTGATAGATCCGGCGTGTGGTGACGTCATGGACTCAGTTTTTAGTGGGCTCTACTGAAGCAGACGAGACCCGGTGTAACACACTCAGAAACTACCATGCAGTAAAGACTACCATAGTGGTTTTGGCGTAAGCTTTCATGCTTCTTCTTCCTTCTTCTTCTGGCTGGCCTCCGTTAGGATTAGGAGGGCGGCAGTCTGCCGCAGGCAGACAGGTAAGCGGCAACCTCTTGTGGCCTCGTCCAGAGTACATTCGGGCCCGGTCTCAACTCATTGTAAGTTTTCATGCCGTAACCACTACCGTACGTAGTGATTTTTGCACATGCTGTAAACACTACCCTAGCGACTTTGGCGTACGCTGAGAACACTATCTCTATGCTAAAAACACTACCGCTTGGACACCAGATTGACTACCCACGCCAAAAACACTATCATCATTCTTCGTCAATAAACACTACTGCGGTTGTTTTCGTGGTTTAGACATTATACTCAAAACACTATCCCAGTATTTTTAAGACCAGTAGATCTACCTTGGGCTATTATAACTAAGAGATGGCACCTGAAATGAGGGTTTAGCTTCAAATTTTTGTTTTATCCTTTAGTTTAGCCACTATTGTGTCATTTTCCCAAGTATTATGCCTCAAATAGAATATATTTCTTCTAAAATGCTTTTGAAAGGTAGGGATTGACTACTTCTGAGAACAAATTTTGAATTAAAATTGCATTTTCCTCGAAATCATATTTTCCTGTACATATTTTGCTAGAGTCAGAAGTTTAAGAATGGATTTAAATTTAAATGAAACTTGGCAGGGATGTGGTCCAAATAAAGCTAAGCAAGATATCACATGCTTTTTGAATATATATCTTATTTCTACCTAATGTTATTGATGTTTGTAAGTAAAAAAAATAGATCTAGAATTTAGATCTAAGGCTTTTAGAATTTTTCAATGACTTATTTTTGAAAATATTTTTTTCTAAAAAAATATATGTCTAGATCTTTAAGATACATGTAACTGAAAAAGCTTATGATGTCTTGACTTTTTTTAGATTAAAAAAACATACCAAAAATGGTTCATTTTCCTTTATGGCCACCGTTACCATGGCAACTGCAAGATTCATCCACAAAATAGATGATTTCAAATTACTCACAATACGATCCTTAATAATATGAGTGGTTTTTGAAGTCTCTATGGTAGTGAATTCGGCGTGAGAAGCCGAAAATAGTGGGGTTTGTTTGATTGTATAATAATAAAAATATTGCTTAAGAATATTACATACATCTGGTGGTTGATCTAGATCTTGTGTTTTTTGAGGGACAGTATAGTTTATTTAGCTTGATCATTGATCGGAATAGATCTAGTTGGTTTTTTTTTAGCATAGATCTACTTGAATAGTAATTCTTTCTTGAAAGAGGGTGAACTCATTGATATATATCTAGATCTAGCCTGAAATTGTGATTTTGACGTGAAGGCCTTTGCTATAAACACAAACGATAGTGGATTTTGCGTGATGGTAGTGAATGTACTTTACGTACATCTGATGGTAGTGTTTTTTGCGGGACAGTAGTTTATTCAGCGTGAAGGTCTGTGCTATAAACGCTACTACTAGTGCTTTCAGCGTTGCCAACATGACTATGGTAGCGTTTCTTGCATAGAGTGATTTTGGCTCAAGGATAGTGTCTTTGGCGTAGCTGGAAATGGTGTTTTTGGCGTGAAGGTCTGTGCTATAAACACTACTGATAGTGCCTTCAGAGTTGCCAAAATTACTATGGTAGTGTTTCTTGCATAGAGCGATTTTGGCATATTACAGCGGACTGTCTGGCTCTTGTCATTCTCTGGACAATTCGTGTACACTTTTGTTTTATTCTCTCCTGGGCTGACACTGTCAGTCTTGTAGCAAGATTAGTCCCAAACCCTTGTATGATTATAGTATAATTTATATTGTATTATTATAACACCAGCTGAGCACCCGGCTTTGCTAGGGGTCGACGCCTTGGTGTCACTGCTCCTACTGGTCTACGCTGCGGAGGCTTTTGACATCTACATTGCTGTCTAGCCTTTCACAGTCACACCTTGCTTCTAGACTATATTATTGCTTTAGATTAGGTCTGCCTTGATTAACTCCTCTCTTGATACATTGCTTTAGTGTATTGCTGTCTAGCCCTTCACAATCACAAAATTTTTATACGGGTTTCGCCTTAGACCATCACAAAACAGCACTAAGAAAATAATAATCCACGAAAGGACTGCTACACTGTAAAAGGAACACACTGACGTCTTCACAATCCCAGAGGCAGTGTCTATAGCTTGTTCGCTTTCCTCTGACAGCGTTAAGAACATTCTAGCTCATTGACAAATTTCCCTATGCCCACGAAACTTTGCATGTCACTTCTACAGGCTGGCGACCAAACAAAAATAATTTTTCAAAAAATCTTGACCCTGTAATAAAAAAAGTTTTTCTCTTTGGGCCCTATATTAAAAACAACTCTTTGGATGCACACACAGGATCACGTCTCCTCGCACTACAGGAAAATTACTCACCCGTCTCTTGAATCGTGTTTCTTAGGCGAACGTTAAAGAGAGGTAATGAACTGTTGCGGAGAGCTTCGCAGATTTGTTTCGTTTCTCAGTAGAATAATCACAAAGGCCAAAGAAGGACGGGAACTTTTTGTCAAATATATTTAATTTTAAATTCAGGAAATGAATAAATCAATAATCGGGCCCCGTCATGGGGACCTATAGAATCTAGCTATCTTTTTGCAGGTACTTGCCAACTTTCAACCCCGTAGCTGTCGTATTTTTATGGGAAAAGTGACACATGTGTTTGCCAAATATATTATAAATATTAATAGATTGTACAGTAAAATCTTGACACAATGTGCACAGGTTTAAATTTAAACGTAGTAGGTCTATTGGTTGTAATGTTCTCTTTCTATACCCCCTAGGCAGGCCCCATTTAGTGTTTTTACTCTGTCTTTTGGCTAATTCGTACCTCGGCTAAGATGTAAAAAATCTTGGGTACAAAGATGGTACGGTAGATTATACCGGTTTTACTCTGCACATAATAATAATGTACGTGAAGAGTTTACTTCACGGGAGTCCACATAATACATGCATTGCAATATGATATGGTCAGCATAATGTGTATACACATTATTGTCTTGTATATATATGATCAACACAATACATGGATATTATCTTATTGTACATTATCATCATATGATCAACGCAATACATGCATATTATCTTATTGTACATTATCATCATATGATCAACGCAATACAAAAGTCATACATTATCATCTTATTGTATATGTCATATATCATATGGTCAGCATAATTCATACATTATGTTGTTGTGTATGATATAATCAACATTATACATATTATCGTATTGTACATTATCATGATCTGTTCAACATAATACGAACATTGTCTTATTGTTTATGATATGGTCAACATAATACGAACGTTATCTTATTGTTTATGATATGGTCAACATAAAACGAACATTATCTTATTTTTTATGATATGGTCAACATAGTAACATACATTATCGTATATTGTACATTATGGTATGATCCACATAATAATAATAATTCAAATGTAATTTGTGTCATGGCCGGGTGAAATCAGGCTCTCGTCAATTTTTGGGCATATAATAGAGTATTGGTGGCAACTTAGAATATCTTGAATTTGAATAAAAATTATTAAAAATTCAGTAAAAGTTGCCCAACAGACAAAAACATGTGTCTTCAATTTAATTGTTTTGATGAGCTCAGGGTTTCACTGCGTCGTCGTGACACCTACATTTTATCATAGTTCAAAAACTTACTAAAGAAAAGCTCAATCAAAGACGATCAATGTGGATTTGGAACTTGGGATCTCGCCAATTAATTGTCACTGGCTTAAACATCGATGAGCCACATTTCAAAGACCTTAAATTTATCACGTAATACTCTCCCCTTATATTCTATACTACTTCTACTACTAGATGTACTACTTATGCAGTGGCGGGGGGCCATTGGTGCAATTGGTGAAAGCGTTCCCTGGCCTTCAACCCCCCCCCCCCCTTTCTTATTGTACTAAACTTGGAGTAACTATATACGGAGAGGCCCTAGCGTTGCGTCGCCCGCTCAACAGTTCCAACCAAGTTGAAGCCGAAAGGGCGGAGCTTATCGGGCCTGCCGCCATCTTTGTAAGTTCAAAACAATGCAGCGTACGCTGCGTAATCTCCTTTCAAAACAAGCTGCTCGGACTCCATTTTCTCTCGAAATTTCTTTGTCAATGTTAATTACAGCATTATAAGCACCCACGCACAGTTGTAATATAATAAGGAAGTTAATAAATCTTACTTGTATCAAATTACCAGCTCACTCAGTCGAACATTTAGTAATACATGTACTATGTATACACATTGTGACGGTAAGATAATTTTTTAACTTGTTTTAGAGGAGAAATTGGGATAATAAGGATCAAAACAAAAATATAAACGGGATAACAAAATTTGCAGACTTTTCGGTCATAGAACTTCATCAGTGCAAAATAATGTCATTACTGACATTATTTTTACTAAAACGTAGACTTCTTGACTTAAACATACAACAATATATATATATATATATATATAAAACAAAATTGAAAATGATTACACAAAAGAGGGTATTGAGGGTGGGATGGGATGGGCGAAGAAAGAGGAAGGAGAGGGCAAGGCAGATAAGAGTGAAGTATGATGGTGGAAATTAACCCCCCCCCCCCCCCCCGAAAAAAAGAAGAAAAAAAAAGAATAAAACAGACGAAAGAGAAAGTAGAATTTTAGAGAATAACATTTTTCCGTCACTACTCGGATCGAACCCGGGACCTTTGAATGAGAGGCCCACCGGACCCGAACGCTACGCAAACTGCCATTCGGTTGACAGTAAGTTTACAACTGAGAGAACTGAGCTGATCTCACAAACATGGCCGACAGTCGTCTGAAGCGGCTTCACGTTACGCGACTCGCGGCCTCTCCTAATAATAGTTACTCCAAGGTACTAAACCAGTCAGTGCTCTAGATCTACCTTAGTGCATCCCTGCGATCCGTCACGCGCTGGCTGCGCCAGTGAAGAGACAGACGGCGAGGATGGTTTATGCTCGTGGCACCGTTTGTGGTAGTGTCTGCTTGGAGCAAGCAAAATCTTTGCACCAAAGTTATGTTTGTCACTGTAGAGAAATCTAGGCATCGTTCTTCCCGCACAAGAAGAAAGGTGCATGAAACTGCTCCTCGCATCACCAATTCGGTGCAAGCTAAAAATTTGATCCAAGTTTCCACTGGCCTGTCTACTACACTAGTGGAGTCTACGGTAACTCAATAAAGAATGGGTATCGAAACTGTTGTCTCCCTTTATTGTGTAACAAGTCCTGGTGCTGCACAAAGTAATTAGAAATTGCCCATTTGCTCACTTTCCATTTATGCACCACCTTTTTGTCTGCAACCCGCGCAACGCCTCTGTCTATGACCTTTACAATAAACAATAACAATTTTGTCAAGATCTATGATTATGATGAGCTTTGCCCTTTCTTTGGCTTTTCTGATATAATTTTTCTCGCGCCATTCCGCATCAGTACGTAAACATATGCACACATTTGTTTTCATGTCATTATTGTTTTTTCCACGTTCCTGATGAAGCCCTCCGGTAGAAACGTTGAACTTTTTCAGAATTATAAATTAATTTTGAAATTCTACAGTCTCCGCCGATTGTTTGCGTTTTTTATTGTCTGAGTCTGAGTGTCAACAATGATACATGCATATTCCACATACCGGTACATCATCGTAATGTGCACTATGATATGATCCAGATTATACATACTGTTCATTATTGATATGTTCCCGATTATGTATATACATATACTGTTCATTATTGATATGTTCCCGATTATATACATACTGTTCAGTATAATATGATATGATCCAGATTATAACATACTGTTCATTATGATATATTCCAGTTTATATATACATACTGTTCATTATGATATATTCCAGTTTATAACATACTGTTCATTATGATATATTCCAGTTTATATATAC